CGCCGTCTTGCTTGGAGTTGCGGCGCTGAGCTACTACTGCTTCGTTCTCTTGGTTACGACTCGTCTCAAGGTCGACGGATCTTTTGGTGATCTTGGCGGCATTCTTTATGGCAAATGGATGAGGGCGACTATTCTCACATCTATCGTAATAAGTCAGATCGGATTTGTGGCGGCATACATGGTCTTTACGTCAGAAAACCTGCAGGCCGTTATTCTAGCAGTATCGGACTGCAAATCCAACATCGCTGTCAAGTGGTTGATCCTCTTGCAGGTGCTCGTCTTCCTGCCATTCTCCCTCTTGCGAGATATCGAGAAGCTGAGTTTCACTGCTCTTATCGCGGACGCCTTCATCCTGCTTGGCCTGGCCTACCTGCTTTACTACGACATCCTTACCTTGAGTACCAACGGCATTGCGGACATCATCCAGTTCAACCGCAACGATTGGACCTTGTTCATAGGCACAGCAATCTTTACGTTTGAAGGAATTGGCCTCATCATTCCTATTCAGGAGTCGATGAAGAACCCCAGCAAGTTCCCTCGTGTCATGTTGGCGGTCATGATCATCATCTCCGTCATCTTCATCGGCATGGGTGCAATCTCGTACGCTGCCTACGGATCCAAGACAGAGACTGTGGTGCTCCTCAACATGCCCCAAGACAACAAGGCGGTCAACAGTGTCCAGTTCCTTTACTCTATCGCCATTATGCTGTCAATTCCTTTGCAGCTTTTCCCCGCCATCAAGATTACCGAGAATGCGCTATTTACCAAGAGCGGAAAGTACAACCCCTACATCAAGTGGCAGAAGAACCTGTACCGCTTTTTCTTTGTCATTCTTTGCGCCGTCATCGCATGGGGTGGTGCGGATGATCTTGACAAGTTCGTTGCCCTTGTCGGTAACTTTGCCTGTATTCCGCTTGTCTATATCTACCCGGTGAGTATAGCCATGCACATGAGCCTACCAATGTGGGATACGACTGCTGACCTTCGAATAGCCCTGCTTCACTACAAGGCCGTTGCGAGAAACAGACTCTGGAAGATTTCCGATATCATACTCTGCATCTTTGGCTTCGTTGCCATGGCTTATACCCAACCTTGACTGTTTATAGCTGGGCTGGTGGCTCTGATGAAGGCAAGCCTCCGGCATACTGCGACCGCAGGGGGAAGTAAGTTGGCACAAAGTGTCTCAGGGAAACGCATGCGACTGCATTTTAATTGTCATTCAGTGCTGTCTGGAAAGCGTTGGGTAATCATTGCATGGATTCCAGCGGGTTCTTCAAGGGTTTTGGACAGCATCGGTCGGTCGTCAATGAGCATGGGCTTGTACATAGACTGAAGAACAAGAGGCTCATCGCCACGTTTATAGTTCTGTATGTGTATACGTAGTAGCGGTTTGATCCAATCAATCTATTCTTCAGTTAATTCTGAAAAGTCCCTGAAAACATAAAGAACATGGAGCTGTAGATATCGCGTGTCTCAGCGATTTTGGATTCAACATGTGTAGGTGGAAAGGAAGATGTATGAAGGGAGCAGCAATATGCACTGCCACATTTGTGCATCTGTGGCGCAGCTCAAATTCTGGAGGACCCACAATGACTTCAGCCCGGGGAGGCATCCTCAATGAGAAGGAGCCTGAGCTTAACCACATCCCACTCACTCACCACGATCTCTCGTACCCCGGGTGAACTCTCAGATTTCACCATAGTACCAACACAAAGGCATGCATCAATCTCCCGTCATGATATCGCAATCGACTAACCAATTTTCAGTCTCACTTTGGTTTCCTAAATTCAATAATTTTTAACCACGCATTATCTTCGGCTTTGTCCTTCAAGTCTTACCACCGACTCTACCTTCCCGTTCACCATCACGAATCAACAAGATGAACGCGCCTGATCGGTAAGACGATCTGATTCCCCTTTGTTCTTGTGAGATTGGGGAAGATTCTAGGTCTGCCTAGCCAGAAGCCAGACTCGAGACGGCTTCACATTGTCATGATTCCCTTTGGGCTCCCCCTCAAGTTGCCCTCAAGGTGGCCGTGGTCTTCTTCTGGCTTCCTTGCCTGGCTTTACCAGAGGTGCCTTCGCAAGGCATGGAACTATTTTCACACCTCTATCCCATATCACAAGATTTTCCTTGCTGTTCCATACACGGTCTACCGTATCGCTGCTTTCCCAAGCATATCAAGATTCCAGAACCACCTCTCAGCATACACCTAAGCCACATCATGTCTCTCCAAATTGATACCGATCCTTCTCGGCGCGTTTCGTTGGAACCAAACAAAACTCGGTACACTGAAGCTAACTCGTTTCTAGTTTCGAGCTCTTCCTGCTCGGTGATGGCGAGAAGAAGATCGAGGAGAAGGTCTTCTCCGGTACGTTTTTCCCGCTCATTGACAATCTCCCAAGCCATTCGGCTGAGCTAAACGCTTCACAGGAATGTCCAACACCTCGGACTTCGTCATCAAGAAGGAGGACCACACCCTCGGCAACCTCTTGTCTGAGCACCTCAAGATGCATAAGCACGTCCTGATGGCGGGTTACAAGAGTAAGGCGCAATGCTCCTGAACCAGCGTCACACATATACTAAACTCTCATCACAGTCGCGCATCCAAACGTCCCCGAGATGTTCATCCGAGTCCAGACAGACGGCTCGATCACCGCCAAGGAGGCCTTGGTAGAAGTCATTAAGAAGCTCATGCAGGACTTGTCGCACCTCAGTCGCGAGTTCACTCGAGAGTTCGAGCTTCTTAATGACTTCTACCAAGGCCTCCTTGGCGGTGATCGAGCCGTCTGCTGGACTCGGATGAACATCTCGGGGACGTTTGGATGCCGACTGTGATGAGAGTTTAGTATATGTGTGACGCTGGTTCAGGAGCATTGCGCCTTACTCTTGTAACCCGCCATCAGGACGTGCTTATGCATCTTGAGGTGCTCAGACAAGAGGTTGCCGAGGGTGTGGTCCTCCTTCTTGATGACGAAGTCCGAGGTGTTGGACATTCCTGTGAAGCGTTTAGCTCAGCCGAATGGCTTGGGAGATTGTCAATGAGCGGGAAAAACGTACCGGAGAAGACCTTCTCCTCGATCTTCTTCTCGCCATCACCGAGCAGGAAGAGCTCGAAACTAGAAACGAGTTAGCTTCAGTGTACCGAGTTTTGTTTGGTTCCAACGAAACGCGCCGAGAAGGATCGGTATCAATTTGGAGAGACATGATGTGGCTTAGGTGTATGCTGAGAGGTGGTTCTGGAATCTTGATATGCTTGGGAAAGCAGCGATACGGTAGACCGTGTATGGAACAGCAAGGAAAATCTTGTGATATGGGATAGAGGTGTGAAAATAGTTCCATGCCTTGCGAAGGCACCTCTGGTAAAGCCAGGCAAGGAAGCCAGAAGAAGACCACGGCCACCTTGAGGGCAACTTGAGGGGGAGCCCAAAGGGAATCATGACAATGTGAAGCCGTCTCGAGTCTGGCTTCTGGCTAGGCAGACCTAGAATCTTCCCCAATCTCACAAGAACAAAGGGGAATCAGATCGTCTTACCGATCAGGCGCGTTCATCTTGTTGATTCGTGATGGTGAACGGGAAGGTAGAGTCGGTGGTAAGACTTGAAGGACAAAGCCGAAGATAATGCGTGGTTAAAAATTATTGAATTTAGGAAACCAAAGTGAGACTGAAAATTGGTTAGTCGATTGCGATATCATGACGGGAGATTGATGCATGCCTTTGTGTTGGTACTATGGTGAAATCTGAGAGTTCACCCGGGGTACGAGAGATCGTGGTGAGTGAGTGGGATGTGGTTAAGCTCAGGCTCCTTCTCATTGAGGATGCCTCCCCGGGCTGAAGTCATTGTGGGTCCTCCAGAATTTGAGCTGCGCCACAGATGCACAAATGTGGCAGTGCATATTGCTGCTCCCTTCATACATCTTCCTTTCCACCTACACATGTTGAATCCAAAATCGCTGAGACACGCGATATCTACAGCTCCATGTTCTTTATGTTTTCAGGGACTTTTCAGAATTAACTGAAGAATAGATTGATTGGATCAAACCGCTACTACGTATACACATACAGAACTATAAACGTGGCGATGAGCCTCTTGTTCTTCAGTCTATGTACAAGCCCATGCTCATTGACGACCGACCGATGCTGTCCAAAACCCTTGAAGAACCCGCTGGAATCCATGCAATGATTACCCAACGCTTTCCAGACAGCACTGAATGACAATTAAAATGCAGTCGCATGCGTTTCCCTGAGACACTTTGTGCCAACTTACTTCCCCCTGCGGTCGCAGTATGCCGGAGGCTTGCCTTCATCAGAGCCACCAGCCCAGCTATAAACAGTCAAGGTTGTGGTATAAGCCATGGCAACGAAGCCAAAGATGCAGAGTATGATATCGGAAATCTTCCAGAGTCTGTTTCTCGCAACGGCCTTGTAGTGAAGCAGGGGCTATTCGAAGGTCAGCAGTCGTATCCCACATTGGTAGGCTCATGTGCATGGCTATACTCACCGGGTAGATATAGACAAGCGGAATACAGGCAAAGTTACCGACAAGGGCAACGAACTTGTCAAGATCATCCGCACCACCCCATGCGATGACGGCGCAAAGAATGACAAAGAAAAAGCGGTACAGGTTCTTCTGCCACTTGATGTAGGGGTTGTACTTTCCGCTCTTGGTAAATAGCGCATTCTCGGTAATCTTGATGGCGGGGAAAAGCTGCAAAGGAATTGACAGCATAATGGCGATAGAGTAAAGGAACTGGACACTGTTGACCGCCTTGTTGTCTTGGGGCATGTTGAGGAGCACCACAGTCTCTGTCTTGGATCCGTAGGCAGCGTACGAGATTGCACCCATGCCGATGAAGATGACGGAGATGATGATCATGACCGCCAACATGACACGAGGGAACTTGCTGGGGTTCTTCATCGACTCCTGAATAGGAATGATGAGGCCAATTCCTTCAAACGTAAAGATTGCTGTGCCTATGAACAAGGTCCAATCGTTGCGGTTGAACTGGATGATGTCCGCAATGCCGTTGGTACTCAAGGTAAGGATGTCGTAGTAAAGCAGGTAGGCCAGGCCAAGCAGGATGAAGGCGTCCGCGATAAGAGCAGTGAAACTCAGCTTCTCGATATCTCGCAAGAGGGAGAATGGCAGGAAGACGAGCACCTGCAAGAGGATCAACCACTTGACAGCGATGTTGGATTTGCAGTCCGATACTGCTAGAATAACGGCCTGCAGGTTTTCTGACGTAAAGACCATGTATGCCGCCACAAATCCGATCTGACTTATTACGATAGATGTGAGAATAGTCGCCCTCATCCATTTGCCATAAAGAATGCCGCCAAGATCACCAAAAGATCCGTCGACCTTGAGACGAGTCGTAACCAAGAGAACGAAGCAGTAGTAGCTCAGCGCCGCAACTCCAAGCAAGACGGCGTTGCTGAAGACCATACCACCATTCAGATAAGCACGAGGCAAGAAGAGAACTCCAGTGCCAACGAATGACTTGAGCAGAAGCAATGCCGCGCTCATAGGGCTGTTCTTTCCACTGCCACCACGCTGCTTGCGTCTCCTTCTATGGCGCGATGGCGTCAACAGCGCGCTGTCTTCCATCGGCTCTCTGTCGTCGTCGCTATCGTCGTCGCTTTCGTACATGTCTTCGCCCGAGGAGAAGTATTCGCCGGGTCGTAAGGCCTCGTCGTCTTCCTCCAACTCTTCACCTGCAAAATGGCCATAGATAGAAAGGAACTCGAGGAAGCTGGATGTCAGCAGCCGAGGCTGAGAGGCTTCGCTAGCCTCGCCGCGCTCACCACCATCTCTGGCCGTAGAGGGGCTTCTGGCCGCCCTGCGCAGGTAGTTGCGACGGAAACCTCCCGGAACCTTGATCGTGTTGATGTCAAGAATATCGGTCTCGGGGTCCGGACGCGAAATGCTGAAACTCTTGCTGCGCTGCATCTTGTTGCGGGCTTCTGCCTCTTCGGTCCACTTGTAAATGCCTCGAGTCACGTCTCCGCCTTGCAGCTGCAAACTCGAAAACTCGTCCTCGTTCAGTCCGGTCTCGGCATCGGCGTTCACGGTCTGTTTACCCTTCACACCATCACGCATGCTAGACTCTTCGGAAGCAGCGTCGGTAGGCTGGACCAAATGCCTCTTGACAATCTCGGGGTCTTCGTAGGCACCCGCACCGGCGTTTCGCGAACGAGAGTCGAAAGATCCATAGTTGGTCATGGGTGTGCTCGAAAGCTGAGCGCCGGCAGCAGCCGGGGAGAGAGGTCGTGCCGGAGGAGTGGCAGAACGCACCGGTGGTGTGCCATGTCTCGGTGGAGATGTTCCCAAAGAGTTGGACAAGGCGGCAGCCAGAGCCGAGACGCCGGGACCTTGAACACTTGAAGGAGCAGCTCCGGCAAGAGGAGCAAGGCTGGCGGTCTCGCTGGCGTCGCCTAGCCTACTTGAGCTCCCGACGAAGCGGCCGGTCTGGGGAGTGCCATATTGCTGCGACGGTACGGGCGATGCCAGTCGAGCGGTGGCGTCTGCTCGAGGTAGAGAGCCGAATTGTCGGGACGGGGAGTCGGCCCTAGGAATGCTGAGGGGATCTCTCGAAGGAGATGCCATGATGGTGCCTAATGAAACCGGTCGGGGACTGTCGAAAGCCGATTTTCGGTATATCGAGGAGCCTCCAACCACAGCGTTGCAGATTCCGAACTGGATCAACAACAGACAACAAAGTTAGCAAAGTGTCATGGGTAGGAGAAGATGAGACGGAACCGGGAGAAAAACGAGAGCTAGATGATGGAGAAGATGTAGGTTCGAATCAAGTCCGGGGAGAGTTTACCTGGACTCAGTTGTAAGACAGCTGACGAGATCAATTGCAGCGCACGGCTTGGGGGGATGTGCGTTCGAAGCTGTTGCTACTGGGAACCCGTGATAAGGACGCCGCTTCCATGCGGGTCGGGTGACCTAATCTGGCAGGTCTGGAGAGTCTGTGGCTCACACAGATAGCGTCGGGTAGGTAGCGCTACCTGGCAGCCTGTAGCAGGGCATGGGAGAGGTAGGTGTGCTGTGGCTGCGCTGCCGAAACCCGTCGGGCTATGACAACCGACAGCCCAGAAGCTCTCTCGGGTTCCTTGCTTCATCCGCCGGGCATGCTGACCATGCTTCGCTCTCAAGGCAGTGTTCTGCCTGTATTAGCCGCTCTACGCTGCCCCAGGTGAGGACTTGTCTCGGACATGGTTTGCCAGGTCTCCCAGGTTCCAGTGCTTGGTAACGGTACTCTTGAATCATCACACGCTATGCTCCATGTCACAGCTTGCAAGCTCCAGCCACCAACGATAAGATGCATTATCTTGGGTATCTATCTACTTTAGATTGCCGCAGCGATATCTCAAGTCTCCTACAGCAACAAGGTGTCTAGGTCATTCCAACCAATATTCCTTGTCTAATTCATATCTTCGTCTCACTGCCTGTACTTTTGCGCTCGTCTCTAAACTTCTTCTTATGTAATATCTTGAACTCTTTGACCAGGAACCGCATATGCCACTGTGCCACTGTACCTACTACCTACGCCAGGACCTGTGCTTTTGGGCCGTCGGACCGGTTCGTATTGTCCGTCAGTCGCATGTCTGATTCAGCACAACAAAACAGCACAGCGAAAATCTCTGGGATATGTGGCTTTCTCTCTATGATCGGCCATCCTCCGGTCCTTTCAAGACTTCTCAAACACTTCAAAATGGATACGACTCACAATTTTTACTACAAATGAGCCGAGTATTTCGTCTTGCTTGCCAGCGCACACTACCCAAAAACCAAGGTTCCCATCGGATCTTACCAGCTTAGGTAAGGCACAGCTCGACCGCCACAGTAAGCGAAGAGGCCTCATTGGCCGCATGCACCTCCCGCCTCACTTGTCCCTCTTGCTCCGACGGGTGAGAGGGAGAGTGGGGGGCTAGCGCGCTCATCCTGGCGTGGGCTGCGTGTGATTTGGAGCCCCGCGGCGGGTGCTCTTCAGCGGCTCTCCACCTCCCTTGTGGCCAGAACTGCCTGCGAGTGTGAACAGCAGCACCTAAAAACTCAGGACTCGACTCCTCGAGTGAACCCGCGCATGTAGCGGTACCTGTGTGCCCCTGGGTGTAGTCATCGCTGATTTCGCATCCCATGCGCCTGTACTCTTCACCTCTGACATTGAAACCCATCATCGAGTCATGAAGCAGAGACACTCGACACTCCCATGTTGCTGGCTGATAAGCGGCAAAGCCACACTGGTGACTGCTCATTCGCGGTACCAGCGGCCAATCCGGCCCATCCCATTGAAATCTCCGGCTTGCCGCTGTCATGCGCCTGAGTCAACGGACTGGTCTCTGGTTTTCTATTTTGGAGGACGAACCCTGCCGCGCCAGCATCAGATGGAATGTCGAGCCAGATGGCTGGCAGATGCCAGACATTTGACACTTGACGCTATTCTCGTTGGCCTGTGATGCTATGCCCATCGCCCTAACACACCTAGGTATTTATCTGTGGCATGGAAGCTCACTCGAGGCTCGTGGGGATCGGGCAAACCGGACGACGTACCCAACCAACAACATCAACGTGCTACCCGCAGGCTACAGATAGACTCCCTACCCTACCTGACGGAATTCCAAAGAAATCGCATCTCGATTCTGCAGGATACCCTACTACTACCCCTCCTCACAGATCCTTGGACACGAGAAAACGCTCTGCACAACCCACAGTCCCACCACGGTGACCGCTTGTCACGCATTGGCGACTGACCGGTTCCAATCTGTCCCTCGCTGCTGGATGACGTCGTTTCGTCTTCCTACTTCGGCCTCTTGTTCTGCATCTCACTGCATTTCCCAGACTTTGGTGCTTGGATGTGTGAGTGGATCACCAACAAACACGGCGCGACCGGCTGGAGCATATCGCGGCTTTCCAATCGGCACGCGGGGTATTGGAGAGGCTTGCATTGGATCGCCCCAGATATCCCTGGCTCGCAGAACGGTGAACCCTGAAAACGAGACGACGAGAAAGACGCGAGACATGCGCCGGGCCAGTTGGATGCCTGTGCGGCCCGCCGTCCTAACCAGGCCATCCTCTTACTGGTCGCCGTGATCACCGCCGCCGCGCCGCAAGCCATCGTTCAACTACACTTGGACGCACTGGGGGATTGATTAGCCAGCCCAGTCCGACATTGCACACTGGTGCGATTAAGGGCGGGGACTCTAACTTATATACCTATGCGCTGCGCTCCCACACCGTTAGGTTGTTGTTGACCGACGACGACGACCATCCCATCTCCCTCACTCAAGTTCGTCGAATCTTTGTCGGCTCTTCATTGTGGTTCGGCCCCGAGGAAAACGATCGTGGAGGTGGCGCATTCACCCGTCCCCATTTCCGGGAAGAGTTCCGGGTCGACCTGTTGATTACGACGAACCCCCTTTTTCGACCTTCACCATGGGCGGCGACGACAGACGACCGAGTCTCTCCAGCATGGAGCAGACTAGTACCAAGGCCAAGTTGGGCGCAGTTTCGGGCGTCTACATCCCCGTCTGTCTCAACATCTTCAGCATTCTCATGTTTCTGCGTTTTGGCTGGATTCTCGGTCAGGTTGGGCTTTTGGGCATGCTTGGTTCGTCAGCTACTAACACAGATGCGCTCACTCCATCTCAATCCACACTAACCAAATCCCACAGGACTACTCGTTACGGCTTACCTTGTAGACTTCTTGACAACGCTCTCTCTGTCTGCTATAGCTTCAAATGGCGAAGTCAAGGGCGGAGGCGCCTACTACGTAATCTCGAGGTCTCTTGGCCCCGAGTTTGGCGGTTCCATCGGGATGCTCTTCTATCTCGCCCAAGTTCTCAACACCGCTCTCAACGTTGTTGGCCTCATTGACTGCATAAAGCTGAACGCCGGGGAATCTTTTCCCCAAGGTTACTGGACTGTCTATATGCTACAGACCTTGGCTTTGCTTCTCTGTGCTGGATTGTGCTTAGCCGGGAGCGGCATATTTGCCAAGGCTAGCAATGCGCTGCTTGTCATACTGAGTCTCGCCATTATAAGCATTCCAATATCTTCCGCATTGAAGTCTCCTTTTCGGGACGATGGACTTGGTGTACGCTTCACCGGCTTTAGTATCGAAACGTTGGTGGACAATTTTGCTCCTCATACGAAAAGCGAATCTTTCAAGGGTTTTGAAACTTTTCGAGAGGTCTTTGCCATCCTGTTTCCTGCCACGTCAGGAATCTTCGCAGGGGCTTCAATGTCTGGAGATCTGGCTAATCCCAGCAAAGACATCCCGAAAGGGACTCTGTGGGCGATGATGACCACGTTCATTGCGTACCTGGTTGTAGTCTTTTCCATGGCCTCCACCACAACGCATGCTTCATTTCTCAACAACACAAACATTATCTCGGCAACGAGCTTGTCCCCGCCTTTGATCCTTGCAGGAGAGTGTGCCGTCACCTTCTTCTCCGCCGTGATGGGACTTATTGGCGCTGCAAAGCTCATGCAAGCCTTGGCGAGGGACAAACTGCTTCCTGGTCTGCTGCCATTCTCGAAAGGGACGAAGAGGGCAGATGAGCCAATCCAAGCCATCATCCTCACGTATTTACTTGCCCAAATCGCCATGTTTGCCAATCTGAACCAGATTGCGACTTTGATTTCCATGGGCTACCAGGTGAGCACCTGCCTACTCAATCTGGATGAAGCTATTTTGGGCTGACAAATAGTAGATGACCTTTTTCGTCATGAATCTAGCATGTTTCCTACTCAAGATAGGATCAGCACCCAACTTTCGGCCAGCGTTCAAGTTCTTCAGTTGGGAGACAGCTTTCGCTGGCAGCATCATGTCTGCAGCAGCTATGTTCTTCATTGACCAGACTTACGCGGCTACGGCGGTCTGCTTGCTCATCTTCCTCTTTTCTCTGATTCACTATCTCAGTCCACCGAAGCGATGGGGTGATGTCTCCCAAAACCTCATCTACCATCAAGTGAGAAAGTACTTGCTGCGACTACGGCCCGAGCATATCAAGTTCTGGAGGCCCCAAATCATTCTACTCATCAACAATCCTAGGAGTCAAACTCGGCTGATTCAATTCTGCAACTCCGTCAAGAAAGGGGGTCTTTATATACTCGGCCATGTTATTGTGACGGACGATTTCAGCAGCGGCGTTCACGAAGCAAGGCTTCAACAGGCAGCGTGGACAAAGTACATCTCAGAGTTCTCCCGCATCAAGGCTTTTGTGCAGCTGACAATGTCCCCGACCATTACCTGGGGTATCCGAAACTTGATTCTGTCAGCTGGCTTGGGTGGTATGCGGCCAAACATTGCCGTCATGGGATTCTACAATATGGATGAGCTAAGAGATTCCCGTCCTTCATTCCAAGTTCCGAAAGCTCCAAGCTCGTCGAACTCGAATGCTCGTCCTCAGGCTAAAGCCAAAGAGAGACCACCACGCAGAAGACGGGGCGACACATCAGCGCGTCTGATGGAAGGTATGCTGCCTACCGATGTGATGAAGACAGAGGGCCTGATGAGCGTCACAAGTTACATGACAATGTTGGAGGACCTCGCTCTGAGGTACAAACTCAACGTTGCGATTGGCAAAGGCTTTGAAAACTTGGAAACGCCGCGCAAGGACCAGGCCAACATCAAGAAACATCTCGATCTCTGGCCGATCCAGATGTCGGCAGAAGTTTTGTCAGATGGGAAGAGTGTCTTGACAACCAACTTCGACACATGTGAGCAATACTGATATCTTCGTCAGAATCTTGCTAAAACATTTGCAGATACTTTGATTCTCCAACTCGGCTACATCCTCTACAGCGTGCCGACATGGCACAAGGTCTACAACATCCGCGTCATGGTCTTTGTGGAGTATGAAAGTGAAGTAGAGGAAGAGAGGGCGCGGGTCAAGGCTTTGCTAGACAAGCTGAGGATCGAGGCCGAGGTCATCGTGTTCTGGCTGGCTTCTGGACAGCTCAACACGTATGAGCTGATTATTAATGGCCAGAGCAACGACCTTGAGTCTCAGATCATGGTGCATGATATACTCAAAGATGAAGAGTGGTGGGACGACCTCCAAAGGTTTCGAGGCCGCGAGCCAAACCTGAACTCGACCGAAGAGCTCACGTCTTTTGCGAACATCATCGAGTCAACGGCAGGGCGGCCAGGCGTGTTTAACCCGCATGTATCACTGGACGACATTGAGAGTGGACGGCGACCAAGTTTGGTGCACTTTGGGGAACTGCCCAAGAAGCCGACGGTTTCGAAGCTGTCTCGCCTTGGCGTCAGTGTTGGAATTCACACGTCTCACTTGGGAGATGAGGTCTTCGAAGACGACTCTGGCTCCGACGGCGAGATGAGTGATCAAGAACAGCAGCCATCGTGCCTTGATTCCGATTCAGAATTTGAACCTGGCAGCAGCGACTACAGCGAGGACGAGATGCCAGAAGTAGATGCCCCTAGACGGCCGTTACTACTTGGGCGAGGGCGAGGACGAAGCCAGAGCGACGACTTGCTCACAAGCCCGTCGAAACAGAAAAGGAGCAAATCGAACAAGAGCGCTGCACCGGCAGCATCATACGGCACGATGGTGTCACAAGCTCGTTCTGAAGGGCAAGCGGGCCCAAGCCATGTGGGAAGAGTCGAAAACGTGTCAGCGCCTCCTACTCCGCTGGAACGACCTGTGCTCGATCGAAACATTTCTGCTCGTTCCATGGGTGGATTCCGGTCGGCGGGCATCAACACTTATGATGCGACCTCGGGAAGCGCATCTGGGAAAGCAACCCCAGCAACAAGACCGACGCTCTCTCGACAATCATCAGCAGTGCGGTTCTCAAGTCGTCCAATGCCAGAGACGAGAACCGATGTGGAAGGCGCGTCTGGTCCGACAATCATGTTTGCAGACACCACTGAGGAAGAGACGCCGCGGGCGGAACAACCCGCATTCTCAAGGCAATCCTCTGCAGGACGGTTCTCCAGTCGGCCAGTGCCCGAGATGACGGTGACGGCGGCTGAAGAGTTCGAGCCGAATAATACGTTTGCGGAACCATCGTGCAGATCACGCAAAGCTTCGGTCGCGTCTACTGCAGATCTAGGCGACGTCCACATGAACATGGCGGAGCTTGTGGGACGCTACAGATTAGACTCAAGACCCGACGCAGACGGGCCCGGCTCGCCTTATTCGACGCAAGGCATCTCGTTCTCGTTCAACGATTTGCCATCACGAGCGCAGCATGTCATCCTCAACGAGCTGATGCGGCAAAATAGCAAAGAGACAGCCGTCATGTTCACAACGTTGCCCGTGCCCACGGAGGGGACTTGCCAGGATGAGCTTGCGAGCGTGCAGTATCTATCGGACGTTGAAGTCCTCTGCCACGAGCTCCCTCCCGTCATGTTGGTCCTGAGTAATAATATGACTGTCACGGTTGGGCTATAGTCTGAACTCATGGTGGGGCAGTGTCTCAAAACCTGCGAGGGAGAACATCCATGATAAGGTCAAACCACGCGGGGGTTTATTCATACTTTGGCGTTTATTTTTTTCTCAGCGTGTCGGCTTATGTCGGGGATGATCACCCGGGACAAAGGAATGTGGTGGTAACCTCTTTTGGGCCGGCCACATTCCTCAGTGACTTTGGCTGAAATGAGAAGCTATTCAACTAAGCATTCTTTGTCTGCCAGCGACCGGCCCACCATGATGGGCTTTCGCCTGCAGCCTTTACAAAGAGTTTCCCTCGACGGTGCATAAGCAGCTTAAACTCTCGCCATCCAGGTTTTTTTCTCCCCTGCCTCGGTGCCTGTCAAGAGGAGTGCTGTTCCTTGAAGCCTCTGTTGGAGCCATGGACTTTAAACACCCGGCCCCGCCGGCATTGCCTTCCTCGTGGACAATCCCACAAACTGTCAATATGAACGATCATGGTAGGAAATCGACTTGGACCACGCAATTGTCGCCGTACCTGAGAGGTCTGAAGATCAAGAACCTCATGACATCTCCTAAATCACCAAAGTCGCCCAAATCCCCAAAGTCGCCAAGGTTTCCACTATCACCCAAATCGCCGCGGTTCCCTTTATCGCCCAAATCACCGAGAACACTACCACCGAGACTTCTTGACGAGGACTCATCGTTTCGAATTATACACACGCCCGACAGGCCAGAGCGGCCGATATCAAGACGGGCCATTCCGAATGACGAGCAATGCATGGAATTCCTCATGTCACTGCAGAGACAAGAGGAACACAAGAGGGGAGGCGTCAAGACGGGCCTCAAGATGTGGCCGTATCCGGAGGAACAGGATGTGGAGGACCGCAGGTACCTCCGGAGTGTAAGGGTAGAGAGCGTGCACTTGGAAGAAGCTCGTCTAGCAAGGACCAATTCCTCTGGTCCGGCAAAGGTCGTGGAAGTGGGCAGAAGCTCGACCAAGTCGACGATGGCATCACGGCGGTCATACCACACCAGAACCCCCAGTACTAGCGACGCAGGGACATCGACGAAGAACCCCCATGCGGTCCTTCGATGGCCTTTGGCGGTGCCCCCCTCTCTCCGCCGCCTACTCTGTCCCGCAGTCAATCACGATTAAGCTTTCACACGCCCAAGGCTAACACATCTCGCTGGTCCGATGACAGCATCGAGTCTCTATTCTCGTCGTCAGGGACATTGACTCCCCATGCCCCCAGCGAGTTACTGTCCGCTCATCCTCCGAAGCGCTGTCTCCACTGTTGTCGGAGACGAGTCCGTCGGCTCGTACTCGCCTCCGCTCCTGACACCGGTAAAAGACCGGCCGGCAACCCCGTTTACAGACCCCCGCCTTCGTGCGACATCCGAACCGATGACGCCTCCGCCATCAGATCACTTGTTCAACCAGATGAACATAAGCCCGGAGCCGGTGCCGAGGAAGTACTCATGGCGCTCGTCCAAGGATACCATTCTCAACATGGGGCCCGATATCGAGATTCCAGTCTTGGCTGCCGAGGCGCGGCCGGAAGGGGAGATCGAAGGGGACAACAGCTGGGGCAGCAGCAGCAGCAACAGCAACAAACAACCAGGCTGAGCCGGAAGTCTACGGCGAGTGGGCGGACTATTACTTTGATGGCAATTTCTGGGAAGACTATTCGGACGGCGACGAGGAAGGAGACGAGACTAGAGTAGAGGAAGAGGAGGATGGCGACGCCGTGGAGAAAGAGGAGCAAATTTCGTTGAAGACGAAGAGGAAAAGGAGGAAAGAAGGAAGAGAATGAGGGTCAAAAAGACCGTCTTCGGGTCGACGATGAGAGGTTTATCCGCGTTACGAGAGTTTCATCAAGGATTACAAGAACAACGTCATGAATATCACGGTTATGGAGGTGTGAAGTTTCTCTTCATCGTTACTTACTTTTTTGGTTCGGGTTTGGGGAGTTTTTGAGGAGGATGATATACCCATCCCTATCAGGGGGTTGAGACACTGTAACAGTATTGTACGACCTCGATATTTAGTCGCGATACCCACCCTTATTTTTTTTCGGAACAAAAAAGAAAGCCTTTTATGATTTGTTATCCGCTCTGGTTGCCAAGATTGTAGTGTCTTCAAGTGTCCTCATAGCGTTCCTATCATGCACATAATATAACTCGACGACCTTGAACTGACAATCTAGATGAACACTGACTGATCTATGCAGATAAGGCCAAGTACAAAAACTCAAGTATTATGACGGAGACTGGAAGTCGAATGGCTGCGAACAACAATTGTATCCTTTCCCCTATTCCCTTTACCTCAGATACTACAAGGCGATGACTCTGACCCATACGCGATATTACCACCTTCCCAGCTCGCTTCCAGATTTCGAGTTCCTTTTAGGACGAAACTAAATAAGAGTGGCACGGTTGGTCCCATCGTCGTATTCTCGGACCTGCCCCCCTTCCCCCGGAAAAAACAG